CTGCAAATAAGAGACCTGTAGGTTCGCCGATCTTGAAGCGCTCGCTGTTCACAAAGCCCTGAAGGAGCAGGAATCAGCAGCGGTTGCCGGTCAGGACCGTCCTTTACGATCTCGTCGGTCCGGACCCCTGCAAGGAAGGACGCACGGTTCACCTTCTTGATGGACTGCAATGCGGCAGAAGAGAAAGAAAAGCGGAGTACAAGGGACAGATCGGTTGTCCCTGTGGGGGGCTGAGAAGAAAGGAGAGAAGATGGGCTCACAGAGGGCCCCCCACGGGCTTGAACCGCTCACGGCTTGAGCCAAAATGGCTATCTCTCTCTCTCTCTCTCTCGAAAGAATATAAGCTCATTTTTTGACTAGACAGGGTAGTGCCAAAACAAGTAACTGGCAACGAAAACCTCGGCAAGGTCCGACCGAACCATCATCTCGCTCTGTTCCCGTCGTCTTTGCATGATCCTCTGATTTATGAACCAGTATTGTTAGGAATAGATGGTATCCCGCTTGCTGTGTCCATGTATCAGTTATCGAACCCTTTTCGCAGTCACTTGCTCCAGGCATTGGAACAGGTCTGGACGTCATAGCTCATGCCGCTGAAATCGATAGAATGATGTCCGAAAGCACTTGCAGACCACACTGCTTGCTGTCTGCATCTCAGAAACCTCAGGATCCTAGTCCTAGATGCCCCTCAAAGCCATGAAGCTTGGAGGCGACTTGTTCTACACCTGAGGCCGGCTTTGTACAATGAAAATGCGCTCTCTGACATCTACGCAGCCTTCGATATCCTGCAGGGAGAAGCTTCAAGCACCGAGCTGTGGAAAATATGGCTTTCTCCGACTTCTGACTTCTGACTGAGAGGAAGTGCAACCTTCTGCTACTAAACAGAGCGGCTCATAAGCTAAGCTGCTGCCGGTTCGACAACTGTCTAAATGGGTGCATGTGGTTCACCTGAGAAGGCCTCTAGGAAGCCTTCCTGCAAGGCAAAAAACCTACCGCAAACTGACATGTACTGGAGCGAGCAGGTGGGCAGGGACTCAGTAAGCGGAAGTGCAATCCTGACGTCCTAGTCGCTAAAACGCAGCCAGACTTCTTCAACGACTGCGATTGAAAGCTGCTGTCGCGGAATTCCTGCCTGCGGCGCTCCATCGAAGGCCTTCTCGGTTGCCCATCCCACCTCCGCCAAAGGCAAAAAGCAGAGGGATTTGTAACCGCGCCGGGTCGCAACCGGCCTCGGCGATGCGCTTGAGCAGATCCCTTCTGTAGTTGGCATCTGCCACGATTCCCAAGCCTCAGCTGGTTTGGCATTTGGTGTCCAGACCACACCATACAGTCCATTAGGATAAGAGCCAGCCGAAACTCCTGAGAATGGCCTCCGCACCAGTTGCTATCAAGTGGCGATGAAGACGCTGGAATCCTTCTTTGTCCTGCACACAAGAGACTTGAGAGCTTGACAAGAAATCCCCGGCAGGCCTCAGCTGTCCTCCGAGACTAGGCCCCATTAAAGGCACGAGGCTTTTTAGCTATCTTGAGAAGACGTTGGTTTTACCGGGTCCGGTAGTTAGCACTCTGGCAGGCAGCCGGGGCGGTTTACTTGCTTTACCGTTTGGATCATACGAGTAAAGGCCTGCTCTTGAAGTTTCGGCCATGCCCGATACCTGAAAGGAAGTAGGTCCTTATAATCACTAGTTACTAGTTCTCGGGAAACGCAGTCGCCGAGCCTCCTCAGCACAAACAGATTCGAAGAGTCCAGCGCCAGCAAAACCTTCAAGATCCTCACCATTGCCTCAGAGATCCAGATGAAGGGACCCTACAACAAAGTGTCTAAGAGTGCATGCGTCAGCCCTTCCTTGCAGGCAAGGCTCTGTCGGATCGGAAAATCAAACAATGCTGTGTGTGGAGGGCCACCTGAACAAAGGAAGCATTACTCCACCTGAAATTGCCCCAACAAGAGCTAACACTCGCGGCAAAGAACCCAGCAAAACATACATCCAACAGCTCCCATGTGCCAAAATGGCGGCATCCTCAATGCATGCAAGTCTCACTTTTGCTCGGATAGGACAGAACTCGCGGCTCGCCACCCCCTCGACGCACGGCGAAGCTCAAGGCGCGGCCAGGGAAGTTCCCCACCTCAGGACCATGTTTGGCTTTGAACTTACGATTTCGTTGGGGCTTCACCCTGCGACTCCCATGACATGAGAAATTATGTACTTTGATCGGGCCGGGGAGCCAAAGTTTCGCCTCTCCCTGCGACGATCTCTCCATAAAGCTCCTCCTTGTCCTGCCATGCTTGGGTCGTTAATTTGCGAGGCTGACAAAACTGATCTGGGGATCTTCTTGGAAGATATACCCGCAGTGTCCTTAGTGAAAGGGTTCACAGTGTGGAGCACAAAGGCATACTTCGCCTCGACCAACTCCTGCGAAAGTCTCAGAGATGGGGAGTCCAGGAAACACACCTCGGGTCGCAGTGACACCTGGACCAACACGGCCATGTTGAGGTCGTGGAAGCTGCGGCCAGCCTCCCGGCGAACGTTTACTGACTTCGCCATCGAACCAGGAGTAAGCACACGTTGCAGGAATCATGCTGTCGGGCTTCAGGCATCCCAGAGCCTTTGCCAAGGACACCCATGGTCGAAGCGCAAACAGCGAGGACCAAACGCCTCCGCAAAAAAATCACACAAATGCGCCTGCAGCAGCAGTACCTATGGCTGCTGCCTGTCTTGAAACGTCTTGGGTCAACATGATGCACCAGTTGCGGCTGGAGACAATCCTGCCTTTGATGGCTTGCCAAGCATCACGCTCTTTGAACCTCGGATTGGCAAGGATCTCATGGTGATGTGATTGAACCCAGGTGTGTCCACAGGACGCTGTACGAGCAACAACTTAGCTGAGCAGCAGCTTTGCAAGTCTGTCTTCACCGTCACGATCGGCCACTTCCTTCATCGCGAAATTCAGCGCCTCCTTCAGCGCCTCTTGGCATCAAACAGAGCGCTTCTACAGGTTCGCGGCCTCGGGCTCGGACGGTCGGGCCTTAGGAAAACGCATGGACTCCACGAGCTGCTGTGCTTCCTCGAAGATGACCTGTGCCTCGGGGTGCGGCAGGCAGAGGAGACCCGGCGTCCGCAGTGCTCTGAGCCAAGGGACGTCTTCATTCGAGGTTGATGGCTGCAGGCGATTGAGGACCTTCTCTAGCATTGGCAGGACGTCCTTGTTGCAGTCGTCTGTCAGTGATTTCCTTGCGCCGCCAAGCTCCAAAGGACTTATCTGGTTAGGAGTCGCAGGATGTACACGTATTGCAGCATCGCCCAGCACTGACGTACTGGGAAACTAGAAAAGCTGCCAGAGGCATCTCTGATGCTCCGATATTGCCGAGACTCTGCATGGTGCCATATGGCAATGCCACCGCCTCGAATGTCAAACGCTGATCGTGCGGGTGCTATCGGGCTCGTGTCGAACAAGAGATGATTTCCAGACTTCACCCCTAATCTTCCCACATCTTTCAATTCCCAGCTGTCCTGCGGCGTGAGGATCCCGGGCGGAAGTTTCGGCCGCAGGAGGGCGAGATTCAAACTCTTGGAGCCGACGTTGGACCTGCTCAGGTTTGCCTTGACCTTGGTGGCAGCTCTGGCAGTGCACCTCGTCATCTCATCTGGGCGGACACACCTCAAGCCAGGACACACACTCAGCGTCACATAACGGCCTCTTCCACGTGCAGACTACACATAAGGCGGCTCCAAGATAGAGGCAAGCTACCAAGAGCATCCCAGGTCATTGGTCAAGTTCATCTTGACCTCGGCCTCTGCTACCTGGTTGGCGTTGGCTCGCTTGGAGCGTCCGCACCGGGAGGAAGGTCGCGGTTGGTTTGAAAGTTGAATGGATGGGAATCGGTTCCACTGCCGCTGGAAAACAGAACTGGAAGACGGAAGACTGATGTGACGCGACTGAAAATGACTTTCTAGGGCGCTTGTCTGAGAGATGCCGGTCTGGATGCTCCTAGGCCCAGGCCTGGCCTTGGCTGCGTCCGCTTCAGCTTTCGCTTTGTCGTCTTCCTCCGTGTTGCTTGGCCTCTCAACCTGCCCGGCTCCCGACCAAGTGGTAAAGAGGCGAAAGGACGACTCGCAAAACGAGCTCCAGCCTCGGCAATGGTCAGTGTTCCATCGGGTTTGCACCTGCCCAACATGGTGCCGAAACCGCTGTAGTTAACTGCCACTGCCAGCAACACCCTGATTTCGGAGTCACTCGGAGGCCTCACTTCCACCCATTTGTCTGCGAAGTCGGATGCGAGCTTCTCCGAGATCTTTGGGTCAAAGCCTTGGCTGAAAACTCCCAGTCGAGAAGTCACGCACACGGGCCGTATGGAAATGTTGCAGCCTCTGCTGCTTAGCAGAAAGCTCTCTCGTGCTTTAGATCGGAGTTGAGCTCGGTTCTCGATGGAACTCCATGCCATAAACTGAGCAATTTTGTGGAGCTGAGCGGCACGTCGCCAGAAGTACACCGAAGTTCCTCGCACGTACGGCGCAGTGTGAAAGGATGTCGGGCGCTTCCTGCATGCGAACGTATTCACAGGAGATGCTTCTAACAAACAGGCGCACCATGGACGGCTTACAAAGTGCGTAAAGGACCCGAAGACCAATCAACAGCGAGCTGACATGAGCTCACAGTGTCTGTGCGCCTTCGCACTTCGCACAAGAACACCCAGAACTCCATCGGGAACCTGTAGAGGGCGATCAGTGCTTCCCCAAGTTCCGTCGCACATTTCCTTTCGTCTGCATTGCCTCCTCCTCACCGCTGACTGCCCCGCTTAGCAGGATCGTGGGCGTGTGGAAGATTTCGCCCTGCACCCCCATCATCTTGTCGATGAGCTTGAAGACGCCCTGGCGGACAAGCATTGCGCTCACGACTTGAGTCAGTCTGTGTTGGGAAACCACACACGCTTGCACTCTGCTGCCTGAATGGGCTTGTCCACGGGCGAGATCATCTGCCAAGGCGGCCTCTAGTGACAGTGCCGCACACGACATCGACGGCTGTTTGGAATCTTCACATTACTTCGCAGCGAGAAGCAAGTGAGCAATGTCCCGCAGAACCGGCTCCACTCGCTGCAGAATCAGACTCACGGCCTTCAGTCCGGACATGTCCGAATCATGATGCTGGTGTTTCTCTGCAAATGCTGCTTGAGGCTTAGATTGATTTTCAAGGACCTGCCCTGACTGTGGCCGGTACCACGGGCAGAGTCATGCTAGGGCTGCCAGGGCCATGCAGCAGAATGAGCTCGGCGAGCTTACGAATACTTGAGTGGACTTTCGAGCCGGCTTCGTCCCGATGCCAGCAGTGCGACCGCCACGCCGCCACATGATGTAGCATCATAATAATTCGGACCGGCGAGATCTAAGCCGAGAACCATTAGCGATGTGCCTCGCAGCACCTCCAAAGCCGACGCAGTGTCAGGCACACGGCTAGACACGAAACCCAGAACCTCATCCACGAAAACGTCAATATTCTTCTTCGGGATGTCAGCTGCTTCTCCGAGAAAGGCCACCTTCGGACCTGAGAGTTTGCTGGAAGCTTCCTACCGATCCTTTCCTCCCGAGGCTTTGAGAGGCCCTGAGGGCCAAGGCCCATCATCGTCTGGCATTTGTCCGACAGCTCACCAACCACCCGGCTGATGCGATCGGCTAGGGCCTGTTTACACTTGTATACACTGCCCTCCGGACAAAAGAGAAAGTACAAGGCAAAGCCTTAAGCAGGCTTCGCTTTCTGCTCGCCTTCAGAAGAAGTGCTGCTTCCTCTGAGCGCTGGGAGGCGCAGTTGGAGGCGAAGGAGTTCCAATCTGCCAGGAGAGCTTGAAGCTCATCCTCCTGTCAAGGGCTGGGGGGCTTTCTGAAGCCCTTCGGTTTGGGAGAGTAGAAGTCCTGGGGCAAGTGGCCGACGAGCGCCGTCAGCAAAGCTCTTAACTGGTCAACAAGCTGTGGAAGTCGAGACTCGCTCGTCAGACCCTGGACAAGAACACTCCTGGGCGACAGGGCGACATGAAAAAGCCAGTCCCGGCTTGAAATGGACGCTTCCGGGGCCCCGCGCTGCTGTGTTTCAAGAGTGTAGTCGATCACCAACAACTGCTTGATCACCCCGGGGTCGGTCCCCTGACGTGCAGGGCTGGGGAACTGGGGATGTCGGAGAGGGATCTCCATAGGTCTGAAGCACCAACTCTGTTTTCTTTGCCACTGCTCAAGAAGCAGGAAGGCCCTGTGTTTGCCTTGTTGTTCAGGATTGCAAGAACGTCATCTCTGGCAGCGGCAATGCGCATGAACTTTCCATGACCTTCAGTGAATGTGCTGTCAAAGCTTGTGACAAACCTTGCTTCTGGTTTCTGTCCAGGTGGCCCTCGTCCAAACTGTTGAAGCCCGTTCCTCCCATGTTGCACAGGTCGTAGAGTTTGCCTGCATCGACTGAAGCTTCTACAAGCGGGCAGTGGCAGGTGATTGCTGGCTACTCGCTGGCTTGTCGCTAACGAGGACTCCAGCACAAACAAAAAGGAAGGATCCTGGCCCTGTGTATATCATGTGGCCTTGCAAGTTGCCAGACAGACAATGCTTGGCATGGTCGACGGAAAGCTTCAAGTCTAGGGCATCGTGGACGCTGCGCAGGATGCCCAGATACCTCACAGGCACAGGGCCGCCAGGGCCGTCAGGGCAGGGCTCCCTGCAGTCTCCCACCTCTCGAAGTCGCCGACGAGGCGTCCGATATCCGTGTGGACCATGAACGGCTCCGTTGTAATCGGCCGGCTGTATGAGTGCAGGTGCTCCTCTCAGCCCAGCACCCTCCCAGACTCCCAGAGTACTAAACAAAGATCGTATCACTCCTTGGTAATGTCGTGCTCCGCCAAGACCTTCCAGTAGATTCCCAAGTCGCCACCACTCTTCAGGTAGGCGATGATCGCACGGCAAATGCCGATGTCTGCCGGGGTGGTGTTGTTGTGCAATTTCTGATGCCACTGCTCCTCGCCAACTGGAAACAATTGCACTCGCAGGTGTTTGCTGCACCACAATAAATGCCCTCGTGAACAGCGACATCTGCGAGGCTACATGGCCGGCATGCTCTGGCCGGGTCAAGTATGCAGCCCAGGGACGTAGTACGTGCCGTGGATCTCCTAGCATGTCAGCGCAAGGGAACCTATAGGACTCTGCGATAGTATCAGGTTTGGCCACTTAGCTGGTTAGCTAGGCCCGCTTGAACGTCAACAGCGGTCCTTGATACCATGGGCATGCATGATGACCTCAGACACGCCAGGGGCAAAGGAACACTGCAGAAGCCTAGCAAGTCTCGCGCCTTTCCAACTTCTTGAATCTTCACTCAACTTAACATTTTCAAGGAGACCTCTGCTACTCGTATGCCAAGGCACCAAGATCTCATCTCGAATCTGCTGACCAGCAGACCCACCACGTCCCATGGTGGAGAGGGTCCAACGGATCCAGAGGCGGCAGCTGGGAGTGGATTTCCAGAGCTCAGCCTGCAGTCTGATACGGATCCCGGTAGCTCCAGGCTTTGGCGTGGCGTGTGTGCTGGCTTTTTATGCATCCGAAGGGCAAGGCGCTGAGTGATCTGATTCGTCGTGGCTGCCAGCATTCCTGGATGGACGACGAAGGATTACGCTGCTCACTGGGAGGCTGGCGGGACTTCTGCCATATGGCGCTGCATTCGCTCTTCGTCCAAAGCTCGGGGCTGGGTGCAGGTGTTCCGTTCCCAGGTCAGAAGCTGCTGGAAGGACAGGCGCTGCCACACGAAGATCCAGCTCCAGAACTCCTCGTTGTTCCTTGCACAGGCACAACTCCTCTTTGCATTCAGTCCCAGCATGCTGTGCAGAGACAATCATCCATCCTTCCAACTGTTTGGGGTCTCGGGTCGCTGTCGCGGAAAAACCCTGCAAGCAAGGAACTCTTCGGTACTCGACATCTCAATGAGCGGCATAGAAGGCATGCGGGACCATACGGCCTGCAAAGCAGACTTGTGTCTGTCCAACACTCCGTCACACATGTCTTGCGTGGCAACGAGCTTGGGCAACAGGTGTGCCTTGCTCGAGTCGACATGGACCAGGGTTGTCCACGAATTCAAGCGCCGCATCTGAACTCCTTGCGACACCTTCTCCCAGGTATCCAGGAACTCAAGGCAGTTCTCGTATCTCCTCAACCATGATAGGGAATTGCTAGACTTCTTGCCGCTTGCACTTGAATGCCTTCATCATGGTCGTAAGACTGTAGTCAGCTCCTGTGCCCCTTTGCCCTTCTACACGCCAGCTACCCCGAGTCTCCCAAGCCCTACCTTCAAACCAAAAACACTACTCCCATAAGTTCCAAAAACAGACAAGCGATAAAGATGGACCCGATGCAAGTGGATGGTGGGATTCAACAACAATCTAGGCCTATTTCAACGTGCTCATCGCTGCAACTTATGACCGAATTGCTCCCCAAGCAACAGCATCTAGCATTGGGGGATCATAATAACCACGAAAACTACGTGATTCATGACACTCCCCTCTCCGAGGCCGCCTTTTCAAGGACATGCTGCTCCAGGTCGTCTCTTGCTCAACAATCTTGTCCGCCACCTTGTCACCCCGATATCTTCGGAAATCGCATCACGAAGAGACGCTCCCACATGTCGAAAGCCCAAATCTGAGCAGTCCGGAATTCCCTTTTCCTGGCATCTTTCATGTCGGCTAGGGGGGATCCCGAGTCCTGATGTCACTACTGTCTGCACAGCCAAACCATGAAAAGAAAATCCGGACCAGGAAAGCGAGGACAGAAACCACCCAACACCCGGCCCATCCTACATTCTGGGAGCCGCTTGCATATCCTCTGCAGCTTTTTTACAAGCCTATCCCTGACATGCACCAGCAGGCTTTAACTTGACCGCCGGCTCAACACTCGCTCGGATGCTTGCGGCCTACAGCAGCTACCGGCGGCTACTAGTATGTGGTGACACAATACAACGGTCACGAGGAGGAACACGGCTGCAACTGCCAGCCCTTGGGGGGCAAAACCGTCGATAGCTTGCGGCGTTCAGCATGTAGTGTGGTGCAGTGTTTAACGACCGAGAGTTAGAACAAAGTATGTGTCTAGCCCTCCAGAGAGCAGCGTGGCCGGCCTGTGCCCACTGGCCTTTCCAACGCCCTTTGCTGGAGAAGCGGACTGTGGCATCGCTTCCATCCTAAGCTGCGATGTCTGCCCTCTACAAGTGGGAGTTTGGCTGCGATGCCCTGATGAGACAACTAAACGCCACACATGCACACACAAACACCTCTCCATGCAACATATATATATATATATGTATGTGTATATATATATATATGTATATACATACACAGACA